TACATACTACACACACACACACACACACACACACATATATATATATATATATATATAAATATATATATATATATATATATATATACATACACATATATTTAACGTACCTTTCGGATGATCGTCTTCAGTTCTTCCTCGGATAAGTTATTGACCAAATCTGCGGCGGTGACCTCGTCATTGGGGCCCATGCGCATGTCTAAGGGACCGTTGCGTGAGTGGGAGAAGCCTCTCTCCGCAACATCTAGCTGCATAGATGACACCCCCACGTCGAATAGGATAGCGCCAACCGTATCATCCCTGCGACGAATGCATGTTTATACGTGTGTGTGTGTTAATGTATGTTTATACGTGTGTATGTTAATGCATGTTTATACGTGTGTGTGATAGTGCATATTTATACGTGCGTGTGTTACTGTATGTTTATACGTGTGTGTTTGTATCGTTATCTCGGAATGAATAGTTAAGATGATGCGGGATATATATACACGCCCCTCTGTGTCGTTCGTGATTGGCTGGATATACGCAAGTACGTATTCGTACTGTTGTCTCAGTGTTAACGACTATGTCGATGATGTATATACATACGCGCTCTACTGTTTCTCTTTGTGTATGCCAGAGTGTATGTGCATGTGCATTTGTACTGTTGTTTCATTGTTAATATTTATGTTGATGATGTATACACACACGCGCACTTCTGTATCTCCTTCGTGTATGCCTGAGTGTATGTGCATGTGCATTTGTACTGTTGTTTCATTGTTATTTTTTATGTTGATGATGTATACACACACGCGCACTTCTGTATCTCTTTATCTATGCCTGAGTGCATGTGTATGTTCATTCGAATTGCTCAAATCTTTCGGAGGAGAACTGTGCGCGGCTTATCATACAACCAACGCAATCATACATTGAACTGTGTATCCGGCGACCAGAGCCCGTCGAAGCTACAGAATACGATATGCTGCCAAAGAAAACGCACACATGAACTTGATATTCGGAGAAAAGATCAATTCAATTTGAATATTTTTGCCACGCTACTATTTAGG